TATTTTTATTAGAGTGTTAGATCAGATTTATGGAGAAAACGAGAGATAGAAAGATCTTCCATCCACTGGTTCATTCCCCAAATGGACAGGAGCTTCTTCTGGGTCTCCCACATGGGTGCAGGGTCCCAAGGCTTTGCACCATCCTCTACTACTTTCTCAGGCTACAAGCAGGGAACTGGATGGGAAGTGGAGCATCTGGGACCAGACCAAGTGTCCATAAAGGACCCCGACTTTGAACAGGTGAAGATTTAGCCATCAAGTCATCAAAACAGATCCCTAGATACAAATATATAAAACAAATTTTCAGTGGATAGATCAGTTCAACCTGGAATTTTCTGGAAGGTCATAGTCATCACTGCTCTCCTCTGCTTTTTGCTCTGCATTGGCAAAACCCTTTGTTAAGTGCTTATCTACCTGAAGTTTCACAAAATTCCTGCTGGGATGTGACTAGTGTTACCTCAATTGAAGAAACTGAAGCGCATGGAGGTTAGGTCACCTGCCAAGGCCACAACAGTTCAGATTGTGTCAGAATTTAAACCATATCAGTGTTTGATTCCAATGTTACACTTTAACCAGAGTATAGGGGCACTGGTAAGGATGTGGGAGCAAAAGAGTGAGAGGACTCTCCCACTGAGGTTTTCCTGAAGTACTTGCCAGTCTCTGCTGGTCTAGAAGAAACATTGGGAATTCACAGTGGCAAGGAAATCCCAGCAGCAGGTCAAGTCACTGAGGCTGATAGCTGCTGTTCTCTCCCATGCTTCATTTGCTGGTTCTTTCACCCTGCCTGCCTCAGGACTTCCTGGCATTTCTCTTTACCACCTCCAAATTGACTTCAGTCTATGTTTCTTCCTAATTCCTCTATTTTTATACTTTAACTTTTCAAAGTTTTCAAAAAAGGTCTTCGCTTGCCTGGAAGAGAGATTTTTTTATTGGATGGATCAGTCGCAGTAATGCCCACATCAGCCAGGTCAGACCATGATGAAACCAGGAGATAGGGGTTCATTCTTGCTTCTTGTGTGGGTGACAGAGACCCAAATACTTGAGCCATCACCTAAATTTTTCCAGGTGCATATTTACAATAGATTCTGGAGGAAGAGGTAATCTGCTTTTGGACATGGGTGTTCCAAATAATATCAGTGAGTCAAATGCCTGCTCACTCCTTCCTATTTTGGGATTAAATCCTATCTCTTTATATCACGGTGCTTCATTCATCTTTTTATTCATCCATGAATCTGTTCATTTATTACCATTAATCTGACATGATCCAAACTCCTTCTGTGGCAGCTTATTGGAGTTTGAGAAGTGTATTTCTTAGAATTCATGGTGAGTGCATCCACCACAATCCACCTCCAGGAAGAGCCCTTGACCCTTGTTCTACCATTCAAAGAAATCTTAAGGTGACCATCCTGGCTCCTACTGGTAACGTGAGAGATTTGCTTAGGTGTTGTAAAGTCTAAGGGAGACTATGGGAAGAAGACATTGGGGGATTCCCTTTTCCCCTGTATTGCAACTTAGACAGGAAATTCCACTTTGGGGCTTCTAGTTTAAGGTTCTTATCAGAGTGGTTTAATGCCCTGGCATTTGCCAGGCACCAGCACAGAATGCTGTAACAAGCATAGAGAGTTTGTTGTTGGGAGAGGGATAGATGAGTGCTCTGAAATGTACATGTACATCATATGTAGGCACTCAGGGTTGTGAGTGTGAGGAGTGTTAATGGAGGCATCAGTTCTGAGGATGTGCTTGTGTGTGAGGCTCTGGGCATAGCGGAAAGGAGCAGATTCTTTTCTGCAAATGAATTTGAGTTATGTTCACTGCATTTGTGTCTCACACTAAGCTTCCCAATGCACAGGGATGACCTCATGTGTTATTCTAGTGCAGGTGCACTCTGACCCCCCTATAGTTCTGTGTGTCCACATTTACCCTCCTAGTCAACCCCCTACATCAAACCCTACAGAACCAGGCTCTGCTTGGGTGACTCAACTCAGCTGCTCCTACTCACCATCATCCCCCAGTCTTCCATGCAGCAACCAGGAGGAGAGTTTTGGAAAATGTGAATCAGATCTGCTTATCCCTGCTCCACCTAACCTGAACCCAGGGCTTCTCCTTGCCCTTAGAGCACAGACCCAGGTTGGCATCTGGTGCAGTGGTTCAGGGCCTGCTTGGATGTCCATCTCACACTGGAGTGCCTGTCTGCAGTGAAGCACTTTAGACCATGGGGTCCCCTGCTGTGCTTCAATTCCTCTTAAATGTAGCCTATTGTTCCCATGCGTGGTTAAACCAGTCAGTTTGTAACTGCCAGTGCCTTTCTGATAGTGTTCAAATACTGGCAAAGGGACATCTGCCTACGTTATCTTTCCTTGTTTGGCTCTCCACAGGTGCTTTAATTGCATTTTGGGTAACTGTGATGCTGATGTCCCCTATGTGAATCTGACCTCTGCTGTTGAAGGCAGCTCCTTTCACCCTTTCAACTATCTATGTTTCAGTCTCGAATATCTTCTCAAATTGTTCTGGCAACAGATATTTTCTTCAGGAAGTTTCAGGCTGCCTGGGATCCCTCAGATTAGTGCAGGACGGTCTGCGCCATTGGCGAGGGGAAGATTTTGGTTCAGTCTTTGGCTAGCATTCTGTCTAGCATTTTGGTGACTGTTCAGCTTAGTTACCCTGCTGGGCAATTATGACTGCAATAGATTCAGTACTGGCCACTACTGCCAGTATTGGCTTCCATTTTGCACAGTGATGTCCACTTGCTTGTGTTCATAAATTACAACTTAACACTTAGTTGTTTTAGCTATTGAAAAAAAAATACGTGAGCAGGAGTTTTTATCCCATTAGATAAGACAATGAAATACGTGGATTTAGTTCTCAGCTCCAGTTCCTGACAAGCTCCTAACCATGCATAAGACCCTGGAAGCCAGTGTTGATGGCTCAAATAGTTGGGTTCCAGCCTCCCATATGAGAGATCTGGTTTGCATTCCTGCATCCTAGCTCCATCCCCAGCCTAGTCTTGGTCAAATGGGCATTTCTCTCTTTCTCTTTCCATTCTTCATTCCCTCCCTCTGTCTCTCAATTTTAAAAAGTGTGTGTATTGAGGTTTAGTGCAGCAGTTAGAATGCCTCTTGAGGGACTGGCACTATGGCACAGCCTGTTAAGCTGTGGCCGGTGGTACCTGCATTCTATACATGTGCTGGTTCAAGTCCTGGCTGTTTCACTTATGATTCAACTCCCTGGAAATGTGCCTGGGAAAGCAGCAGAGGGTATTCAGGTTGCTGGGTCAAAGCCATTCATATGGAAGCTATTGGCTCCTGGATTTTGCCTGATCCATTCCCAGTCATTGTGGCAATCTGGGGAGTGAACCAGTGGGTGGAAGATTTCTTTCTTTGTGTCTCTATAACTCTATTTATCAAACTAATTAACAGGTCTTTTTTTTAAATGATATTTCCTGAGACATCTGCATTCTATATTAGAATGCCTGTGTTTGGGTCCTAGTTTCCTTTCAATTTCAGCTTCCGACTAATGCAAACTCTGGAAGGTAGCAGGTGTGGATTCCCCCAGGACATCCAGACAAATTTGCAATCTGACTCAGCCTCAGCTGTTGCAGGCATTAGGGGAGTGGACCTGCACAATCAGTAATATTTGTGTGTATCTATCTCTGTTTCTCAGCACTTCCAATTAATAAAATACTTTCTTTGAAAGTGGAGTGACAGAGTGAAAAGCAGAGACAGAGAAAAAGAGATTTTCCATCTGCTGCTTCTCTCCTCATATGACCCCATCAATCTTGATTGGAATAGGCCTAGGTAGGAGCCAGGAACTCCATCCGGGGCCCACATACGTATGCAAGGGTCCCAGCACTAGGTCCATCATCAGTTGCCTTCCCAGTTGTGCTAACAGAGAATTAGTTTGAAAGCAGAAAACCTGGGTCTCAAACCAGTGCTCACATGGGGTGACAACATTGCAGGCCTTAATTCAAACTACTGTACCACAATGCTAGTCCTAAATACATTTTTTAAAGTTTTATTTTTATTTTATTTTAAAGGCATAAAGGTAAGATGCTCTTACACCGAGTGACTCATTACCCCCCAAATACCTGGAATAGCTGGAACTGAACTGGGCCAAAAGCCAGAATCAGGAATTCAGTATGAGTCTACGGGCAGCAGAGACCCAAGTAGTTGAGGCATTATCTGCCAGCTTTTAAGGTGCAATTTAGCAAGAAGTAAGAATCAGGAGCAGAGTTAGGACTAAAACACAGGATCTCTGTTCGTAGTGGGTGATTGAATGTCATGTCTTTACCATATGAAACATGTGTCTCTTTCAAAACTGGCTTTTATTTTTCCTTGACCCTTCAGTTTAAATGTCACTGTCTCTAGCTTCCCTCTATGTGAGAGTCCCACTCTGTCTCTGGGGCAAGGTCAGCAATGTGTTCTGGGAAGAAGCAAAGTGAGCCACATGGCTTCTCCAGCAGTGACTTAGCCCTGCCATTGCAGCAGGAAAGCAGCCAGAGAGCATGTGTGCCTGAGTGAGTGACCTGTGTGCAGTCAGCATCTGTGTGCACACAGACCACAGCCAGCCTGGGGATGGTGGGCCACACTTAGCTAATCTTGGTCTCCAGGGCAATTTTGAGAATCTGAATAAGTAGGAAATTGAAAGGAAGCAAAACAGTCAGGGTGAGTGATGCTCAGAAAACCCAAGAGTTGGAAGAGCTGAGATGTAGGAGAATGGGATCCTGAGAGACCAGAGGGTCTTGGGAACTCTCAGAAGACAGAAGTTTGGGGCAGAGAATGTGAGAGTCTCAGGGAGATCACAGGGCCTGAGGTGAGGAGACTGGAGTACCATAGTGATTCCAGAGTAAAAGATGTAGGTTCACTATGAGTAGATGCGCAGGTTTTGAATTGCACATGTTGAAAGACAGTTGTTTTCTGTGTGAATTCTTGCTGAACACAATATACACAGCAGCTCAGGTAAGCCTAGACCTCTTAGATTATTTTTTTTTTCTGTATTTGCAGAATGCTATCCTCTACTTCTTCTATGGCAGAACCCTCATCCATCAGACTTTGTTGGGTTATGACTGCCAGGCACTGCATCTCATGAGTTCTCTACTATCCTGATCCATGCCCTGGTGTTTGGTGTATATGAGACCCAGATTGACTTGGCCAACAGGTGGCTGTAAGAGGTCGGCATTCAGATTTAAACTGACCCATCCTCCATGTTAAGAGCAAACAGATCTACTGGTGGTGTTGGATGATTACCTCTGTGCAGTTTCAGAGGGAACTGAGCAGACCATCAATGTGACAGAGGTCCAGGTTGTACCCAGTTACGAAGACAATGATGCATCCTAGGGTGAGTGAACTCCCAGCCTGGGACCAGGCTCCTGAGTTCTTTCCTCCATGACCACAGCTCATTTAAGAGTCCCTCAGGGACAATGGCCAGGGTGAGCAACCTGTATCCAGTTCCCACATACCGGGCAGAGCCTTAGAGACCAACATCACTAATCTCTCTCCCTGCACAGGGGACAGTGGGCCCAGGGAGAGTCAAGAAGTCCCCCAGGGCTGCTGGGCTCAGTGTCCCTGGAGCTCAGGACTCTCAGGGCCCTTCCCCAAGTCCAAGGAGTCCTGTGCTCAGCAATATTCCTCCAACACAAACTGGGTTCATGGATGTGTGGGCAGAAGAGGAGCATTGGACTGAAAGTCAAGCTATGGGTGTCTCTCCCTGAGTGTCCTGGGCAGTCAGCGCCCTGTTCTGGGCCTCAGATTTCCAGTTGTCCCAGGTGACCCTGCAGCATGGCTTTGTGGTGGTGGTGATGGGCAAGGAAGCCCTGCTCAGTTCTCACCTGTATGCACACCTGTGTTTCCGGAGGCTCAGCTTTTTCTGGTGAGAGGTCATAGTAGAGGGCAGAACTATTCAAATACAGTAAAGCAGTAAAGACTGATAGTGATGGAGATCCCAGCCTATCCTCAAGGCTCTTGGGGCAGTAGAGAGACCAATGAGACCTAGACAAAATGTCTTAAATGACAGCAAGCACAACAGTGGTTTCCAAAGTGTTGTCTGTTGGGTAGTAATTCCAGGTTCCCTTGGAAATCTCTCAAAAATATCTGACCTTATGGCTCTGCCAGACTATAGTCACAGAAATTCTTGGGATAGGCTCCATAATCTGTGTTTACTTTCTGTTATTTGTGTGAAAGACACAAAGCGAAACTCTTTCATCTGTTGATTTTCTCCCTAAATTCCTGAGAAGCAATAGCTGAGCCAGAACAATGTCTGGATCCTAGAACTCTTCTTGGTCTCCTAAGTGGGTGGTAGGGATGTAGGTTCTTGAGCCATTAGCTGCTAACCCAGGGTACGCTTGAGCAGAAAGCCAGGAATGCAAGCAGAGCTGGGACTTGAGCCCAGGCACTGTGACATGGGACATAACGTCTTCACCATTTACCAAATGTCCATCCCCAATTGTGCTTACCCAGCCCCCAGGCCATACTGGTATAGCTGGAGTGTGAGGAAAACAGGTGGAAGCATGAACAACTATGAAGACCAAGGGCTGTATAGTCTGAAGGGCCCAGGTGGCTTCTGATGATTGCTTTGCCTTGAGAGTAGATTTGAGAGAAAAAGGAGCAGCAGGAATCCCCTAGACATGAATTCCTGGAGCAAAAGGAATGTGACTAGGCTCCGTGTGACTCTTCTTTCTGCACAGCTGTAACATTGTGACACTACCTTAGTATGTCAAGGGGCAGATGAAGCCCAATCCTCTAGCAGACTACATCTGCTGCAAGGGACAGAATGCTGCATCACTGACTGGTGCCAGCTTTCAAGTATGAGCTGAGCAGGGAGGCAGTTTTGCATAAAGCATGAAGATCTGGATTTGGTGGGAGGAGAATTGCCATTAGACCAGTAGAACAGTGCCTTGATATTCCATCTTGGGAACTTAGCCATGACCCAGGCTGTCCCTTTCTGTCCCCAGCTGGTGCATCATTTCCAGATAAACTACAGAAAGGGTTACTTTCTGTGGTGGGTAGATTACAAATATGGCTTCCAGTGCTACTGCTGGGGCTCCAGTGTAAAGGAGACCAAGGTATGTGTGGTATTGGCATTGACACTGCCTACCACACGAGTCAGCTCCCATCTGCCCTAGGTGGGCAGGGTTCTGGGTTCCCTCTGCCATCTCCATGGAGGTGGAGGAACTCTGTTCTCTGCTGCCTCAGTCATCCTCTAGTCCACAGGAGAAAGTCAGCACAGCCCACACACCCTGACTCCTGGCCCAGATCACAGGCCCCCTCACCTGGGACCATCACTGTCCTCCTGTTGCTCAGGCTTCCCCATCAGCACAGCAGGGACACTCACATCACCACCTCGAGTCACCCACTCTGGGCTCTGCAGGGATCCTCAACCACTGTGCTGTGGGAGCTGAGTCCTCCTAGGCAGCAGGGAAAGTGCTGCCAGCAGGGGGCGCTGGCGTCTTTCAGGGCTCTCTGTGCCAGGGGCTGTGCTGAAGTCCTGTGTGGGTCCCTTCCTGCTCAGCAGGTGTGGTAGCACAGACCCTGGTCCTGGCCAGCTGAGGCCCTGAGGCTGGGAGAGGTGCAGCAGTGTGGGTGTGTCTGCAATCCCCAGGTCAGGGAGAATTCCTTCGAGCTGAGACATGGCTCAGCCTCTACCCTTTGATCTTCACAGGATGACTCTGGAGGACTCCTCACTTGCCGTGCAGTGAATGCCAAATGGAGGTTCATGGCGTGATCAGTTTTGTTTCTGGTTTTGGCTGCAACACAGAGAAGAAGCTCACGGTGCTCACCCGCATTTGTGTTGGCCTTCACTGACTGGACTAAGAAGGTAAGGTCTGAGCATCTGGGAAGAAACCATAGTAGGACCTTTCCTGAGAGAGGCTGGATATCAGGGAGGAAGGGCAGATCCTGGTGAGGGGCTGCAGGGATTCTAGAAAAGCGGTGGTGGTGGTGGTGGTGGGGTGGGGGTGGGAGGACCTTGAGGACATGCCCAAGAGCCCTGGGAAAGTGTTCTGCTCTGTGTGTCCACAGAACTTCACAGATTTTGGCTGGAGCTTTGCACTTCCTTTTTCAGTGAGGGTTTCTCAGTGTGTTCTCTGCTTGGGCCCTTATTTCTCCTAGAGGATAGAGGGACATACAGCTGCCTGGAGGGCAGATATATAATGAGTGATAATGGTGAGGGATGGTGAGAACTCTGGTAAGGGGAACTGAAGCCCTAGCATCATGATCAGACAGAGTTAATGCTGTTCATCATAATGTGATCGCCATTGATAGATTGACTTACATGTGCATCAGGGAGTGTCATGGGAGTCTAGGTGGTTTAATCCTGAATTCCAATGAGGTGAGTAATATGATTACCACTCCCCCTAGGGAAGGAAACTGAGGCACAGAGAGGGCAAGTCACACAGGGATAAATGTTCAGCTATGTGAAGCAATCACTGATGGACTTAAGAGGGGACATAGATGCACATACAATAATCGCGGGAGACCTCAACAACTCGTTAACACTAATAGACAGATCAACGAAACAGAAACTTAACAGAGGAACAGTAGAACTCACACAGACCATAGAACTAATGGACTTGGTAGACATTTACAGAACCCTCCACCCCACAGTCACAGAATACACATTTTTTTCAGCAGTGCATGGCACCTTCTCCAGAATTGACCACATAATAGGGCACAAAGCAAGCCTCAATAACTTTAAAAAAATCGAAATCATACCATGCACCTTCTCAGACCACAAAGGAGTGAAACTGGAAATCAATAAATCAAAATGCCCCAGGAAATATGTAAACACTTGGAGGCTGAACAATATGCTACTACATGAACAGTGGGTCAGAGGAAAAATAAATGATGAGATCAAAAAATTTATGGAAACCAACAAAACCTCAAATACAACATTCCAAAACTTATGGGACACAGCCAAAGCAGTGTTGCATGGTAAGTTCATAGCAGTTGGTGTCTATGTCAAAGCCCAAGAAAGATACCAATTACAAGAATTAAACACACACCTCCAGAAATTGGAGAAACAGCAAGAAAATGACCCTACAAACAAAAGGAAACAAGAAATCATCAAAACAAGGGAGGAAATAAATCAAATTCAAATAAAAAAAGCCACATACAAAATTAATGAATCAAAAAGCTGATTCTTTGAGAAGATTAAAAAAAAAAAAAGACACCCCACTGGCCCATTTGACAAAGAAAAAACAAGAGAAAATGAAAATTAATAGCACCAAGGATGACAAAGGCAACATAACAACTGACACTGCAACCATTAAGACAATAATCATAAATTACTATGAACAATTGTACTCCAACAAATCAGAAGATCACCAGGAAATGGAAAGGTTCTTAGACTCTCACCACTTACCAAAATGTAGCCTAGAGGCAACAGAAGACCCGAACAAACCTATAACTGAGGCAGAGATTGAATCAGTGATTTAGGATTTCCCAACAAAGAAAAGCCCAGGTCCAGATGGTTTCACGGCAGAATTCTACAAAACATTCCAAACAGAGCTAACCCCAATCCTCTACAAGCCCTTCAAAACAATAGAAAAGGAAGCAGCCCTTCAAAACTCATTCTAAGAAGCCAGCATCACCTTAATCTCAAAACCAGATAGAGAACTAAGAGAGAAGGAAAACTACAGACCAATCTCCCTGATGAACATTGATGCTAAGATTTTCAACAAAATCCTAGCCAATAGAATTTAAAAAAACATCAGACAGATCATTCACTTGGACCAAGTAGCATTCATCCTTGGTATGCAGGGATGGTTCGACGTTCAGAAACCCATAAATGTAATATACCACATTCAAAAACTGAAGAAAAAAAGTATATAATAGTATCAATAGATGCAGAAAAAGCTTTTGACAAAATCAAACACCACTTCATGCTAAAAACCCTAACCAAGGTAGGTATAGAAGGAACAATCCACAACATAATCAAAGCAATATATGAAAAGCCTAACACCAGCATCATACTGAGTGGAGAAAAATTGGAACCCTTTTCACTGAGATCTGGAACAAGACAAGGACGTTTGCTATCTCCACTGCTATTCAACATAGTCCTGGAGATACTCGCTGAGGCCATAAGACAAGAAAAAGAAATCAAAGGAATT